TAGAAAATATAGGAGAAATATTTTGTGCTACTAGGATGGGAATACTCGTAGCGGGAAACTCGGTAGAATTCCGCGCCAAATACACGTGCGCATGCAGCCATTTAATTCTCGGCGGTATCCGTTAAATATATAGAAAATATTATGGATATACGATATCCGTTATATATATTGAAAATATAGGAGGAATATTTTGTGCTACTAGGGTAGGAATGTTCGTAGCGGGAAACTCGGTAGAGTTCCGCGCCAAATACGCCTGCGTTTGCAGCCATTTAATTCCCGGTGGTATCCGTTAAATATATAGAAAATATAGGAGGAATATTTTGTGCTACTCGGGTAGGAATACTCGCAGCGGGGAAACTCGGTAGAGTTCCGCGCCAAATACACGTGCGCTTGCAGCCATTTAATTCCCGGCGGTAGATGGAGCGTTGGGATGGGAGAATTCGATTTTGGAGGGAAATTGGAGGTCTTTATTTCTATAAATAATCCGGCCTCCACGGGATGAATAATGTCGCCTGGACGATGAACGACGGTGCCGAAACTTGTACCGGGAGGACGTATAGTTAGGATCAACCTTAACCCTGGCTCGCTTCCAGAGCGACGTACCTTTCCAGGATCGATGGCTTCTAAAAATACCCGATTTTAGAGGCACTCCGCGTAATTGCCGACGAAGGTCCTCCCCGGATTCAACGGACGGTCACGAAGTCGTCCTCGACGGATCGTGGGACGACCTCCGTCGACGGAGTCCTTTCCTCGGAAACGTCGACGTCCTCTCGGTCGGTCTCGACGGCTAATCTTGACCCGAAGATGTCACTTGGCCCCATTTAGGATGAGAGCTATGTTCGTCCAAGAATTTCGAGCTTGCGTTTATTCCCGACCTCCTTGTCCGTAACCTTTCGGAGCTGGGTTACTTATTCTTTTTTTTTGGTACTATTTATTCTGATTTATTTTTATTCGTGATTATTTGTTATTATTTACGATTATTATCTCTATGCTCTTCTATTTTTCTTTTTATTAATTCTTGTTAATGACAGAACGCATTTAGGATAAACTGTGTACCTCCAAAAATTTCGAGCTTGCGTTCATTCCCGACCTCCTTCTCCGTAACCTTTCGGAGCTTGGTTACTTATTCTTTTTTAGATAACATTTAATTTGATTCATTTTTAATCGTGATTATATATTATTATTTACGGTTAATTTGTCTATGCTCTTCTATTTTTTCTTTTTATTAATTCCAGAACGCATTTAGGATAAAGTGTATACCTCCAAGAATTTCGAGCTTGCGTTCATTCCCGACCTCCTTGTCCGCAACCTTTCGGAGCTTGGTTACTTATTCTTTTTTTTTGGTACCATTTAATCTGATTCATTTTTATACGTTATTGTTTATTATTATTTATGATTGTTTTCTTTATGCTTTTCAATTTTACTTTTTATCACGTCTTGTTAATGACAGAATGCATTTAGGATGAGAGCTATGTTTCTCCGAGAATTTCGAGCTTGCGTTTATTCCCGACCTCCTTGTCCGTAACCTTTCGGAGCTTGGTTACTTATTCTTTTTTAGGTAACATTTAATTTGATTCATTTTTAATCGTGATTATTTGTTATTATTTACGGTTAATTTGTCTATGCTCTTCTATTTTTTCTTTTTATTAATTCCAGAACGCATTTAGGATAAAGTGTATACCTCCAAGAATTTCGAGCTNCCATCGTTTTAGCATAGAAGCGCGTAAAACAATTTTTTTGCATTTATCCCGTTGAAATGCGAGTTTATCGATTACCAGAGGGTTCTAAATTGTCGTAAAATTGTCCTGACCCTTTCGTTTCTCATATCAGAGCCTTCGATAATTCTATATTAATCGAAATATGAGAGCTCGACGCCATTTTGGTTCTTGACTTCGCTGAGTTAAAACATTTTTTTAAAATATCCAAATTTTGAATGTGTCAGGACAATTCTTAGATGATCAGGAGTGATGTGTCAAAGTTGACAGTTTGGTCCAATACCCTTAAAAAAAGTGTTGTATTCGAATCGACTGATTTGAAGAAGGTTTCACTTCACCTTGACGGAATTGAGAGCTGAGGGAGAATGACTCCTGTTGAATTGCTTTTCGGAGTAAACGCCGTAAACGGACCTCGCGATTATCACGGATAAGCGATCGTACCGTAAATAGTACCATAAAAAGAAAGAAACGTTTCCGGAAGACGTAGTTAGAATTATTGCACGAAACGAGCGAAATAACGGGATCGTCAGCTGGGGAAGGCGACTCATCTTTTCTTTTTTTTTTTTTTTAAATCGCTTTCAATGATCTTATGAGTGGGCCTCGCGACAATTGCGGATAAATGGTGTACTCTGCTGTGTGAATCTGGAATCCAGTTTGAGGTACTAACAAAATTAACAGGCTTCCCTAGTAGCATAGAATAAGTTCTAAATATTTCTTTGTAATATTATGTTCTTGTGGGTGAAACTGCCAAATCGCCACTTGACATGCCTTTCTTTGGATGGTGGTTTCACCCCCTTAAAGTGTTTAATGGCAGATTAAAAAAAATACGTGTCGTTTAGTTTTTAGTCTACTATAACATATTATAAGAGAAACGAAATCGGAGAGATCGATCTGGGATACTCTGTCAAACATCGATTCAAGTTCCAAAGAAGGTATCCCAGGTCTATCTCTCCGATTTCATTTCTTTTGTAATATGTTATAGTTGACTGAAATCTAAGCGACACGTATTTTTTTTATCTGCCATTAAACACTTTAAGGGGGTGAAACCACCACCTAAAGTAAGGCATGTCAAGGGGCGATTTGGCAGTTTCACCCACAAGAACACAATATTTTTTATCCCAATCCACCTGGAAAAGCTTTCTCATAACGAGAAATGAAAAATATATTTCTCAATTAAAAAGAAAAGAAATTAAGGGGTGAGCCACTCCTCATAGGCTTTACTTTGGATAGTGGTTTCACCCCCTTAAAGTGTTTAATGGCAGATAAAAAAAATACGCGTCTCTTAGTTTTTAGTCTACTATAACATATTATAAAAGAAATCAAATCGGAGAGATCGACCTGGGATACCTCCCTTGTTAGATGATCACGAGTCATGTGACAAAGTTTCGGACAGTTTGGTCCAATACCCTTAAAAAAAAGTATCGCCCGTCATTTCTAAGAGCGTAAGCGTCAGGTCGCGAGGGAACTCGACGTTCTCTGTCAAACATCGATTCAACTTCCAAAGAAGGTATCCCAGATCGATCTCTCCGATTTCATTTCTTTTATAATATGTTATAGTAGACTGAAATCTAAGCGACACGTATTTTTTTTTATCTGCCATTAAACGCTTTAAGGGGGTGAAACCACCACCCAAAGTAAGGCATGTCAAGGGGCGATTTGGCAGTTGCACCCACAAGAACATAATATTTTTTATCCCAATCCACCTGGGAAAGCTTTCTCCTAAGGAGAAATGAAGAATATAATTTACTGAATTAAAAAAAAAAATGGAGGCGTGAGCTACCCCTCACAGGCCTTACTTTGGATAGTGGTTTCACCCCCTTAAAGTGTTTAATGGCAGATAAAAAAAATACGCGTCGCTTAGTTTTCAGTCTACTATAACATATTATAAAAGAAATCAAATCGGAGAGATCGACCTGGGATACCTTCCTTGTGCGATTCCTATTCCTTCCGTCGGCGTCTCATCTGAGACATCGTTACGGATAACATTTCGAGTCACGTAACTCCTGAGATTCTGCAAATATTCCGGACGATCGGCACGCGGATCACGAGTCGCGGCTCCAGGTATGGAATTTCCTTCTACCAAGAATGGAAAGCAAGTTGGCCCATTAGTTTCCTCGCCGGTGCACCCTCCTCGGTGTCCCAAGGTCGGTGGACACGGGGGATCCGAAAAGGACCATCGGGACCCGAAACAAGCGATAATCCCCTCTCTTGCGAAAACGCCAAAAGGACCGATAAAAGCCCGAAAGGGGGACCAAACGTCCGGCAGGAACCAAACGGAACGAAGAAATTCAGATGTACATAAAGCTGACCTTGCACAGCAAATGTTGATAATGAATGCCTGAATTTATTGCTAATTAATTGCTCCGAAATAAACCACACTTGGATTTTTTTACTCACCCCTAAAGGGGTACGTCACCACCCCTAGTGCCCGTAGCAGCAAATGTACATAAAGCTGGCATTACCACTGGAGCACAATTCAATAAAATTTGTTGCAGAATTTATTGCTAATTTATTGGTATTTTTTTGCGCAAAAAAAAATTTATTGCTCTTATAGTTTTTCGAAAAACTGTGGCGATGCCAGCTTTATATTAAGCTGGCATTGCCACATTATAAAAACGATAATACAGCAAACGTTGATAAACGACGTATACGCCTGAATTTATTGCTAATTAATTGCTCCGAAATAAACCAAACTTGGAATAGCGGAACGAAAATATTAGAAAAATCTCTCGTGTCTTTTGATACCAAATGAAGTGTCCGATAATAGTCGCGAAGTAAAAAATGTATTTTTATTATGTTAATACATTNGTCAACGGCAACTGGTAGATGGCACAGCCATCGCGATTGTGCGAGCTCCTACCAGAAATTCGTTGCGCCGCCCTTGGGAGCAAAAAACGGTAAAAGCTAACGTACGAAATCAAAGGGCAGCACACGGTGCGATCGCGCGACCCTGCACGTGAGCAATCTCCCAACTCATCTCTGATAAACGTCCAAGTCGTCAGGGTTGTACAAATTGTCTTGAATGGTGAACAAGGGTCCGATTATGATTCTAAACGTCTTACCGGCGATACGAAGCGTAAATACCTGATGATTTACGGAGGGTGATTTATGATCTTCCGTTGGAATAAAAGGAATAAACATTCGGTATTTGGTATCACGCAGCGCTAACTGCCGGGGGATCGGTGGAATCAGCGGCGAAGTTTAGGCGTTGCTTTTCTGTACTGGTTTCGCATCTGAATGCTGCGAGTCTGTGCGCGCTTCCTGCTACGGCAGCCATTTTGATTTCGGACGGCCATCTTGGATAAATTCTTTCCGGTTGACACCGCTACAAAGGTGCGTGCGATTGACATTTTTCGAGCGGTTTTTCTTATACTTTCTGGTAGTTTTCGATATTAATGTGTGGAAATTCAAGAGTTTTGGATATTGCATGTATCGGTTTTTATGGTTTACTTTGACGGGTTAATCTGTGGACGTAATTCCGCCGTTTGTTACCTCGATTCGGTCCAATGTGGAGTGGCGTTGCCCATGTGGTTTAGTAATATTTTCAGTGATTTTATCGATTTTGTGTTGACTTCTGTTGCAGATGCCATCCGTCACGCTAAAGGACGTTGACCAGCACAAATTTGTGAAGGCGTTCGCCGCCTTCCTCAAAAAGTAAGTATTCAAAGTTCCAATGTGATAAGCTAACCTCACAATTACATTTCCTCCACTCGCAATTCTGTTGATTTAATGCGAGTGCCTTTTAAATTATTCCACCGGTGTTTCACAATCATTGATTGTTACATCAGGAAATGTTAGTTTTGAATTTAAGTAAATTTATGTCAGTTCTTATTCCCTTTTATGGCTTAAGTAAAGATGTAAATATTGTAATGTCGTTTTGATAACGTCAACTTGCAGGACAGGGAAAATGCGTGTTCCGGAGTGGGTCGACATCGTAAAATCTGCCCGTTTCAAGGAATTGGCACCCTACGATCCCGACTGGTACTACATTCGTTGCGCAGCCCTGGTACGACATATCTACATCCGCAGTCCGATCGGCGTAGGTGCGGTTACCAAAATCTTTGGCGGTCGCAAGCGTAACGGAACACACCCCAGCCACTTTTGCCGATCGGCAGGTGGTGTCGCGCGTAAAGCGCTTCAAAGTTTGGAGCAGCTGAAACTCATCGAAAAGCTGGAGAACGGTGGCCGCAGGTTAACCAACCAGGGACGCAGAGATTTGGATCGCATAGCTGCGCAGGTTAAAGCTAAGAGTAAGAAACAACTTAAACTCCAAGAACCCGTCATCGTCCTGTAAGAGTTGTGTTTCAATAATAAAATGTAAAAACCCACCATTGCTTGGTACTTGCGAAACTATAGGTAATCGAATGTATCGGTTCGATAACATCTAACATATTCATTAAGTAATTTATAATCATACATCGTCTTATTTCCTACATCTAAACATTTAGAAACTAAATACTATATACCAATCGTTAAACTTTAGAATATGAAGTACCGAAACTTGTCTCTCAAACATTTGTCTGATGATTCTTGAAATAATTTTACCCTAATCCCGCAAGGGTGCGTTAAAACTATTTTAATTAATTTAAAAGCTTAGAAGAGAATTTCGAAAAAATGAGCTTGATGTTCTAAAGGTCTAAACATCTATCCACTCGTGTCTAGAGTTCGAAAATTCTCGGTAACATTAAATTGGAGAAGGTAACTGTGAAACATACCGAGAATTTAAGAGAACGTTAATTTTGTTATTTATACTTTAGGTTTCTTCGTTTAAATAACTTTTTTTTTCCAATCAACTTCAAAGTTCAAGCTAAAGAGTAATAATTACTATTAGAAAATATTGATTATAGGGTCGTATTTACCTCCAGCTAAAAATATTCACGTATCTACAACTTCAAGGAAAATTCCATACCATTTGTTTCAAACGAACTAATATTTCATTCTGCGACGAAGCGAATGGGAGGTTTTGATTGGCTGCGGAGAACGTACAACGGAAATTACCCTCTACGATGTTTCTCTATAGCTAATCGAAACCTCTCGTTCGCTCCGTCGAAAAATTCAAATTCTCATAATTTCTCGATAAAAAAGGCTTTGGAGAAATGACCGATAAGTTACCGGGAATTTCTCTTCGTTTCTGACGTAAGTTACTGGATTTAGAACTATCTCGCGTCGCCACTATACGGTTTGCCTTGGTTTGCCTTAAACTCCCATTTTAGTTCCCTTCCGTGTCCACAGATGGCGGCAGCATCCCGACCGGCGCCTCGGTAGAGTTTCCTCTCTCCCCAAAGCTACGCCAGCGCCACCGGCGGTAGCCGCCGGAGTCGGGGGCACTCTGGGTAGTGCGCGTTAGTGCGCGAGCTGCGCCAGGTTTGGGGCACCGACCGAGTGGCAGTCGAGCGGAGCTGCGGCAGGGACGAACCTGCAGGACGCAGGAAAACAATCGGCGGGTCCGTATTCGGAGCAGCGGGGAGCGGGTCGCGGAGTGCATCGTCGAGAGTGAGTCCGCGTCTAGTATGTGCCCGTGTAAGCGGAATTAAGGCGGGATGTCGCGGAAATAGGGAGGCCGCGAGGGACTTCGTCGGGTCTTGTCCCGGCGACGACGCACGGTGGGCGAGGAGGCCCTCGGGGGTCGCACCTCCCGGTGACCCGGGGGCGGAGACGCGACCGCCGGGGAAAGAGCGGAGTGCCAAGAGGCACGGCGGTGCTCGGGAAGAGGAGCGCGCTAGTGGCCGTCCCGCGGCAAGGTGACAGCTCTCCTTTCGCGTAATTTATACACATATACGTATACACACCGTAGGAAGGCGAGAGAGCTCCCCTCGGAGGCCCGGAGGCGAAGCGTATTTTCCCTGCGGCCCGCAAGGCGGAATCGGGCCTACCGACCGGCGACAGGAAGGGCGGAGGTGAGTTAGAACCGTTCCCCGGGACGAGGAAAAGAGGCTAAGTAACCCGAAGCTTCCATCTGGTGTTAGGTCAACGGCTCGCGGGCTTCTTCGACGCACCCGACCTGGACCTACCATCGACAACGGTACCGCATCTCGTCCCAACTTGGACATAGAAAAGGATCGCAGACATTCCTGAGCACCTGGAGGAGAGTCAAAACGACGTGGGTGGATATCTGGGGATAGGTTGAGGAGGTAGGCGAGCCGGGTTAGGCTTAGGAGGGAAAATTGTGCATCGCAGAGGTCCAGGGAGGAGGAATCCCCGAGGTTCTTCTCGAGGGCGGTGCGCCATTATCGCCTTGGAAAAAGAGGCGCGGGCGGAACGGGGCCGAAGGGGTGCGGCGAGAAGATTGTTTGGTGTAATTTATGGTGCCGGTTAGCGGCTCCGCGGAGCTCGTGGCACCGAGCCGCGAGTGAGGTTTCTACGTCGCCTGGGACCCAGCTCAGATCACGAAGATGCCGGGCCTCATCGCGGTCAGCGAGTTCGTCGAGGAGACCCGCGAGGACTACAACTCCCCGACGACCTCCACTTTCGTCTCGCGGATGCCCCAGTGCAGGCAGACCATCGCCGCCCTGGAGGAGGTGAGCTAACACGGGGTTTATATCCCGCTTTGTTTTTATTATCCGCGGACGATTTGTCCTCGCTAGTCATTCCTGAATGTATATAAAGCTGGAATTGCCACTTTGGCACAATTCGATAAAATTTGCGGCAAAATTTATTGCTATTTTATTGCACGAGACAACAATTTTTTGCTCTTATCATATGTATATAAAGCTGGAATTGCCACTTTGGCACAATTCAATAAAATTTGCGGCAAAATTTATTGCAAATTTATTGCTATTTTATTGCACGAGGCAACCATTTTTTGCTCTTATCAGGTGTATATAAAGCTGGAATTGCCACTTTGGCACAATTCAATAAAATTCGCGGCAAAATTTATTGCTATTTTATTGCACGAGACAAAAATTTTTTGCTCTTATCTGATTTTATTGCACGAGGCAACCATTTTTTGCTCTTATCAGGTGTATATAAAGCTGGAATTGCCACTTTGGCACAATTCAATAAAATTCGCGGCAAAATTTATTGCTATTTTATTGCACGAGACAAAAATTTTTTGCTCTTATCTGATGTATATAAAACTGGAATTGCCACTTTGGCACAATTCAATAAAATTTGCCGCAAAATTTATTGCTAATTTATTGCAATTTTATTGCACAAGGCAAACATTTTTTGCTCTTGTCAGTTGTATTTAAAGCTGGAATTGCCACTTTGGCACAATTCAATAAAATTCGCGGCAAAATTTATTGCTAATTTATTGCTATTTTATCGCACAAGGCAAACATTTTTTGCTCTTATCATATGTATATAAAGCTCGAATTGCCACTTTAGCACAATTCAATAAAATTTGTTGCTAAATTTGTTGCTAATTCAATGATTTCTGAGGACGATCGTCGACGCCTTCCTGGTCACCGCGTGGAACGGAAGTCGAAATTTCGAAACGGAACTTACGTCAATTGCTGGGAGTCTAGGGTCTCTAAAGTATTTTTATGTATCTGGAGATTTAGGTATTTGCATGGTCCGCCCTGAGATAAAAGTTCCATCGAATCGAAGAAATGTTTCTTTGACTTTAAAAATAATTATTTCACATATATTGTCATCATTCCGAGTAAAAGTCGCGTCCTATTTACTCCAGCGTATTTCAGTCAGATCATTGACTCTTGGATTTAAGGGAATACTTCTTTCGCTCTATGATAATTTTTTTTCTCAGTGCGCTTGTTATCACTTATCTGGGTATCTGGGTATGTTAGGAGATTAGACGGTGGGCTCGGTTCGCTTATCCTTATCCTGCTATTGGGATTCAAGCGAACTGGCCCGTGGTCACGAGGAACTCGGCGTTGATGTTACGTTCCAGGGCACTTCGAGGATCGAATGATCGATCCGAGAAGGAAATCCCCAAAACTTAGTTAGAATTATTTCGTGAAACCAGCGCGCGATTAAGGTGATGTGAAACACGTCGAGGAACTTGATCGACGTCGATATAGAAGATTTTTCTAAATACCTACGTTGCCGACGTTCGTTTTTATATTGATAGCTGGGTCGAATTATATTGGGCATTGTACCAACGAAAAGTAGAGTCTATTCAATTATCGGCATTAAATCGTAAACGTCCCACTTTGCATCTTAAATGTAGCAGATACTTCCATTTCTTCTGCTTAAAAGTTTAAAGTGGAATTTCATTCGTAATAAGGTGATGTGAAACACGTCGAGGAACTTAATTGACGTCGACATAGAAGATTTTTCTAAATACCTACGTTGCCGACGCTCGTTTTTATATTGACAGCTGGGTCGAATTATATTGGATATTGAACTAAATGGCATACTCCACCTGTCGTTTTCGTACATTAATTATAAAGAAATCGAAGTAAAACTCCAGAAATCCTCTGGATTCGTGCTTTATGCGGCCCTAATTGGGACCTCCTGCGCCATCTGTGATTTCCAGGTCAATTAAATTTTCACTCCGAGACCTCGTATTCCCATCGTTTTAGCATAGAAGCGCGTAAAACAATTTTTTTGCCTTCATCCCGTTCAAATGCGAGTTTATCGAATACCAGAGGGTTCTAAAT